AAAAAATCGAAGGACAACGTACACCAGTACCAGGTACTACGGCAGAGCAGTATGCACCAGCGCATTAGTGTAGGGTAGGCACCGCACCAAAGAGGCAGCAGAGGTGGCAGGCAGCCAGCAAAGGAAAAAACAAAAATAACAAGGAGCTATGTACCCGGCTGATGTTGTTGCGCCCTATTTCCCTCCCTGCTGTATGCTATACTCCTTTGCGTATGCCCTATGTATTGCCACCGGCCTCTGTGCTGTGTTTCTTTTTTTTCATGTCCTCCCTGTGCCTACTCTGCTGTGTTGGGTACGTTGTTTCATATGTGATTAGCTCTATCTAGGAGTCCACAAAAAATGGGGAGCCCGTGGTCTCAAAACCCGGCACATACGACGCCACGGGGAGACAAAGCAAAAATAGGGTACAAACCATTCACTCGGAAAAAAAAGAAAACCAAATGATGGACAGAAAAAAAGAACAGGTATCGCACCGACCAACCGTTGTTCGAGAAAAGAGCCCTCGGAAACCGATCAAAAAATGCTATGGATTCATTGCTAATCTATCTTAGACGTATTTCTATAGATAAGAGATGGATTTGTTGTGTGATATTAAGGAAAAAAAAAAAAACAGTGCCCAACATCATCCGTCTGCACCTTCCCAACATAACCCACACCGGTCGCCCCGGTGGTCTAGTGGGTAGCCTCGCAGCCTGCTAAGGGCCAGGTCATGGGTTCGAGTCCCGGCAGGGAGAGTTTTTTTCTCACTAAATAAATCCTGGTCTAGGATGAAAGCGACGCGCTGCAAAGCTCGTTTGTTAGTAAACCATAATCGACTTCGTAAGTCGCGAGGGAAGGGATTGCTGTACCCTTCTCGCGATAAAAATACCTCAGGCATGAACCGCAGGAGGGGGTCCAACCCCCCCCTCCTATGTGACCCCGGTTGGGTCGTCTAGCCAGTAAAAAAAGTGGAGGATAGGGGCCAGAGGGGCAGACGGCAGAGTCCAATGATGGGAGAGAAACAAACAAAAAACAAAATATATGAGACACACAAGACAGCTACCAAACTGATTTATTTGTTGAGCCTGTTACCCGCAGGGGAGATGTCCCTATATGCTGTCTGGGAAATCGTAGACATACAGACAGGTAGTTTTCTCTGACGCTATGATTCCATTGTTATTCTGTCTCCGACTCTTTTCAATGATGATAGAGATGGACTCGTTGTACACACAACAACATATAAATTTGTTATTTTTGTACATACATCATCTATCTGGCTGTCTGCCCATCTGCCGCTTCTTTGTCCTGTTTGCTCCGTTACTCCCATGCCCTGGTGCGTAGTGGTGCCTGATGCTGGTACGTTACCCTTTGATTTTTTCTTTATTTTTTAGGCGGGTGTTGGAAGCGTCCTCCTTCATTATAGTTTTTTATTTTCCTTATTTAATTTTTTTTTTTGATCGGTTTCCGGGGGCTCTTCTTTTTTTCTCGAACGGTCGGTGCGGTAGCTGTTATGTTCTTTTTTTATCATTGTTTTATTTTCTTACTATCACACAACAAATCCATCTCTATCTATCTATAGAAGTAAGTCTGTAAGATATATTTTCTTTTTCGGAGTGGTTTGTACCCTACCTATTTGTTTTTGTTTTGTTTCCCCGCGGCGTCGTAGTATGTGCGGGGTTTTGAGACCACATGCATGCACGGATGGGCTCCCCATTTTTTTTGTGGACAATAGATAGAGCTAATAATAATAATGTTAGAAACAATAATAACAAAGAAAACATGCATATGGATTCGCAACTAACTTCATATTTTTGAGGGCTGTAACTTGTTAACAGCAGCAGTCTCAACACCATCATACATGGGACATTCACTTCTACATAGATAGGCCTTTGCTCCATCGGCCGTTTTGTTTGTATGACGGAGAATAAGAAGGTGAAATTTACTTGAAATTAGTATTGGAATATAGGTTGTGTAAGTAAATCGAAAATAAAACGGCCGATGGAGCAAAGTACTTAGTTTTAGGCGGAATTTATGTATCATTAATTCAGTTTGAGAACCAGCGGTCGAGCCGAATGGGAACCACACGTGAGAAACGGTTGACTAAATAATTTGTTGCCCACACGGCGTCACAGAAAGCATTACATGGATAATTGTGCTCACAGCACAATACTGAAACAACTTGTACAAACCTAAACCCTAACCTTAAACCCAACCCAAACATAGATCAAAGAATGACCGCCGGCTGGTTTTCGGGGGTGGGTGAAGCCGTGAAGGGTGAAGGACACTGGGAACCTTACAACATCATGAATTGACGCGTTCTCATTGGGTAGCGGCGTGGCAGATTAGGCCGCTATATGCAAGGAGGACTGGGATTGATTGGTTACGGTTGACAACCTTCTCCCTCTCTCGCACGTACCACCTGTCGTGCTTATGCCTTGAGGGACACGAGTCGACCAATCATCGAAACATAACTTCGTTTAAAAAGCTCGCTCATAGCGGATTACCGTCATCATCACCGCTGCTTCTGTGGTGGGCTGCCCGTTGTAAGGGTTTCCCTCATCAGTCTCAAACACGGATATACAGCAGCAGCAGCATTGCGCATGCATGTGGCGCATTTTAGGTGGAAGGGCAGATGGACAACGCCAGCTGTCGGAGTTCGATCTCACGGAGTTCGAATAGAAGGAGCTTGTCGCTGGAGTCGAAGCATGACGATGAATCGGACAGCCCGGCGGGGTAGGCGCTCGTACGAGACCACCAGTAAGATGGGGCCTCGGCGGTGGTGGTGAACCTACCCTCCGAAACCTCGTCGTCGCGTTCTTGTAACCCAAAAACTACGTACGTACTTTCCGTGCTTCATGTATTGTATAGCCATGGTTTAGTTGTTGAAATGCGTTCAAGTGTTACATAAGATTAGCGGGCAGAGGAATGTACTGCTGTGGGTGGAGAGATCGAACGGTTAGTAGACTACAGCAATTTGAAGATAACACACCGACTTCCTCAACAAAATCCTGGCGCCCTATTCCCTTTTATCTTACCATGGTTTTATGTTGCTCCAGCCAGCATTTCGATCAAATGTTAGGCAGCGACCACCGACAAACAATCGCGGCGGTATCGCGGCTTGCTGCGTACATGGGCCGTACGGGCAAAGGCATCAACCACATCTTTAAAGGTGCAGCCTCGTCTGAGCTACAGAGTATGCAACTTCTGCCCTTGACATTGTCACGCTTTTCGTGGAGTGCAATAAACTAAAAGTTGTGTATTGTGGATGGCATCAGTGTAGCTTTGCTGCTTGCAAGATTGGCACTGACAGAGAGCCACGCCCAAGTGTTCATGGCACTATTGGTGGTCTACGCCCTTACCGTCCTGCGCATACGCTTGAACAGACCTTGGTTCGCAGCTGAGAAGGTCTTCGCCCACATTGAATGCATCAGACAAGAGGGCGAATTTTCATGTTCCAGTTCTACTGTATAACTTGCTTGCTGCCACGGAATTTTATAGTTGGCCTGTGACCACGGAAGGAAGCGGTCCGGGTCAGTTGGATCGGCACGGATGTTAGAAGGTACCGAGTAGAGACCGAGAACAATTTGATATGAAGCAGTAGATGAAAACAACCTAACCCAATCCACTTGTTCGTATGCTTAACATTTAGCCTATGGTAGTGAGAAGCAGTGTGCGTGATAGAATGGCACAGCTATTGCTTGTGAATGCTGCCACCGATCAACGCACACTCACATTCATTCACAGATCTGGACTCCAGCGGTGATGGAAGGCTCTCGCACCAAGAGCTGGAACGGGCGCTCGTGGAGCTGGACATCAATATCACGACGGTACAAGCCCACGCTCTTGTGACCTTCATGGGTGAGAACAACGATGGGGTCCTGCTTACCATACCCATCAAAGTGCACACCTGTTTGTGGGGACGAGCATGAGGGGTGGAATATAGTCGATCAGTTCACCCACATTTGCAATATGAGCTGCCTTTGATAGTTCTATTATCCATGCAGTGCAGTATTCTCCCCGTATTTATCAAAGTTGTTCCGTGACACACTCTTGGAAGCATCGACGAAACAGCAGTTGCAAAATGTGTTTTGATGAATCTCAACGTTGGTAGGGTGTGTTCCCTCTGGCACGGATTGTCCAGTCTCCCTCCTCGGGACAGGGAGCTGGACGGGAAGCTGGACAGGAAGCTGGCAGCCATATCATAAGGGGAATTCCTCGAAGCACTTTGCTTTATTTGCACCTCGTAACGTGGCACGTGAAAAACACGGCCCTACACAGCGGCATCTACGTCAAGCTTTCGTCTCCTTTGCGTGTGTCCCCAGACAACGACGGAGATGGTGAGATCGACGTTAAGGAGTTAGATAGCACAATCAGGCTGTACAAGCGCCGAAAGCGAGCGGGCGAGCTGAGCACCTGGCGCGGCAACCTCGACGCCCAACAAGACCCGGTGTTCCCCAATTGGCTGATCGGCAGGGACGATTTTCAGCAAGTGTTTTCCAGGCAAGCAAAAAACAACGAATCCACCCGCGGTGACAGGTCGAATGAACACACCACATGGGGTGCCGTCGAATCGTCTTTCGCCTTTTCACGAGGACCGTGGCGGCCGATCAACATTGAGTATGTTTAGAGGCCGCTTGGAGCACGCGTTCCGTCAAGGCAGCGCAGTTGCGGATCGGTCAAGCCACCGCCAAAAACCATGCGGTCCCTACAACAAAACAACTTTTCGAATACGAACGAGTGCAGGTGCTTCGCTTATTCCGAAGGGTTTCGGTTTGAGACAAGGGGCATCCGTCATAGGAGCACATCACGTTCAACAAACGCAACCTAGGCATGCGAACACAAGGCACCAAAACACTTGTGTCGAACATGCCTACAGCAACAAGGCCGCTTTTCCCCTACCAATAGCCCCCTAGCTACCATCGCCTGTGGATGCAGGTAGTGTCTTCAGTTCCTGGTTCACTCATGAGGTAATGCTCGTTCACGTGTGCTGAATCAGGTTTTCGGAGGAGGATGGGGCCTACGGGGTACCAGAAATAAAAAAAGCTCTCCAGAAACAACCCGAAGAACGACTCCACCGCGATGTGCAGGCTATTACCGGCTGGCTGGGGCAGCAGGTATCTTCCCTTGTGCACACAGCACACCTACCAGTGCTTGCACGCTTTGAAAGCACACATTTTTGAAAGTACGACCAGGATCTATGTGTGTGCGTGATTCGCAGAGGAAACTCTTAAAGAATTTTTCATTTGATTATAGTACAACGTGCAGTCCCGATGAGAGCTACCTTGTATTCCTACCCCAAAGACTGCAAGGCTCAGGATGCTACCGTGCCCAAGACATGGCTGCTGGAGGTCAGGTCATAAAAACCTGTACGCCTTCGCGCCGTCTAGCCAATACTCCACAATGACGACGGCTACCGCGCACCTACACAATCGTAGAACATCATCTCACGAATTTCCACCTGATGACCTGCTAGGTTGGATCGCGCACGATCTAAGAGCCGTCCATGACACTGACACTGGTCGTATTCGTTCGAAATTTCCCTTCAGGATTCGTTGCGTTCTTTGGGGGCGAAACGGCTAATGGAAGTGACCAACGTGGTGGAGTGTCAAGAGCTTCGGCCCGAGGAGAAGCTTTTCTCGGAAGGGGACGAATCCGAGGTGCATGAAAAGACGAACAAGCACTCACAAGTGCGCTCTTTGGCTACTTTTGTGTAGTGGTTTACCAGATGTTGTTGAAGAGCCAAAGTCTGGCTGATAAGGGAAATGGTGGCTGGGAACGGATACGATACGTTCCGAACAGCGCTTTCAGGTGAAACACGGTTTCGTCGGTCAACCTTGCGGGTTTGTGTGGCGCCCACAGGATCAGCAGACGGAATTACTTCGGTGTCTCGGGATTCTCCTGAGCAACCTGTACCTTCTCTAAGCGTATTTCTTGTTGCATGCAGTACTCCGAACGCCATGGTGTACATTGTGCATTGTGTTTTGCAGAGGACGCGAGTATTTCAAACAGATAACCGTGGCTCGGTTTTGGCTCGTCTTCCTCGCGAGCCACACTGTTTCAGTTGTCTTGTCTTGCCTTTCCCTTGCTACAAGAACGTCGCCTCGACTTTTTTCCGAACAGGGTCCCCGGCTCCTACACCGCGGTGACAGCGAACGGGCCCTTGAAGAGACAGGAACTTGTTTCTTCCTTCTGGCAAACGGCCCGTACCATCAGCCCGTGCCTCGAGTACATGCCCAAATCACACCAACATTTCCCCACGGGTATCGTCTTCAGTAGACCACTGTTTCGGTCAACAAAACACCTGAAAACTGGACGTCTTACTTTGTCGCGTTGAAGAGGGCCGCGTCCTACAGCAGTTGCGTACTGTCTCGAGCCGATCTTCCGTCCATGCCGCCCCCACCCCACTGCACGACGTGGTTACAGGCATTCTACATGATACTGGACGGGCACGTCGTGGTTCTTGTGAAACAATGCCCTGTGGCCGTTCTAGGGCCGGGGGAGACGTTTGGAGAGCTAGGTCTGCAGAATCTTGAGAAACGGACCGCGACCGTAAAGGTGGGCTGATGACTTGGATTTCCAACATTCTTCGTATACCGTGTACCAAATAGCATGACGTTAAAAGGGTTCGCTTATTCCAGACCCGCCGTATACTGCGTAGGGCACAGATGGCTGGAAGAGCGGCCGTGAAGTGTTGTGCACCGTGCTGATTTGTCCGTGCAAATGGTGATCGGTAGTGTGGGTTACTACGCGATGATACCCAGTTACGGGACGTGCTCGACATGTGTTGCGCACAGTACCCGGAATCTGTGTCTTCGTAGGGTTACTTCTAACAGAAGGAACCCGCCTGACTCGTAAGCGCGGACTCAACGACCTTTCAGGCTACAAAGTACCGGAGAACGAATACGCGCACGAGAAGATACAGAGATCATGTCGCTGTATGTACAACAGTTGGAAGAACATTATTAGTGTGCAAGGTGTGGCTGACACTACAGAGCGATTCAAAGCAGTCTTATTTTCTCGTGTGTCATAGTTAGAACACAGGTCGTTCCTTGCCGTCCAAAGGCTCCTAGTCGGGTAGATGCCAGTAGTTGCCCTGGTGACAAATTACCGACGCTGCGGCAGCCTACTCTTTTTCGAACCGCAAGAAATTAGCAATACGTGTTAAGCCTACTGGCCGCTGGTCAACTGAACGGCCGTTTGTGCGTCAACTTCCATAGGCCGATCCATCGGGAGCTTTGCTAGTCAGGATGCGTACCAGCGACTATCGACATATTCTTTCAAAATACCTGATGGACAAGATGCAAATGAAGGTACGACGGCAATTCTGCAACGAGGGAAAGGGGGAGGGGGCTCCTGTACCGCCTGTTTGGGTATTTCTCAGGGCAGCTACGTAGATCAAGATACCTATGTTGCAGGGTGCAGGATGAATATCCTAATGGACAAGATGCGTGTCAAGTTTAGCGTGCATGCTGCGCTACTTCGGTGATGGCGAATGGGCGATTAAACAAACACCTGAGATCTCGGAATCCCAGCACCAGCTTCAACATCTACTGAGAACCCTTCATGACTGCTAACTCAAGCCAACCCCAACCCTCCAACCCCACCGCGCTTGCCCTGGAAATGTTCATCTCGCTGCCGTAGCCACGAGACATCTGCACGTTGCACCTAATTTGTGGCGTATTTTACTCTCGGGATGTGTTTTTGACCACGTGCTTTCACAACACTACGCCAGACATAGTTCGAAACGGGGTCGGACACTGACAAGAGCATCCAAATGCAAGAGGGATCGATTTAGTATCCTCCACATTTCCGCTGCAGGGTGATTGGGGTGGTGCTATCAACGCCAAATTGTGTGGTGACCCTTCGGCTGGGAGAATTCGTGTTTCTGGAACCTCCTCCGCAGTGTGGGGTGTTTACGTGTTTGCCGAAAAGGCCGTGTGGTGAAGTGAAAGCCCGCCCAATGTTGAAGTCACCGATTCCGCAGCTGCGTCGATCTGGTGAGGAAACGCATGCCATCGTTGTTTTCCGTCCCTGTGTTATGTTCGAACGCACACATGGCCCGTGGTGTTATGTGCGTGACATGAACGAGACAGATCAACCTTCTCCAAGACACGTTCGAGCTGGCTAAGAACTGGTCTCACTCCAAGATCAGGGCGTTTGCGTACTGCATGGCGCACCACAGCCACGCGAAGGGGGAATACATCTACCGGCAGGGCGATCCTGCACACAACCTCTACATCGTGTTCAGTGGAAAAGTGAGAAAATGCTGACGAATCATACTTCGTGTTGTACGGGATGATGATGATGATGACGATATGACACGAAAGAGTTGTTGTCGTGTCGCGGAGAATACAACGCCTCTGTGTGTACATGTTTCGTTCTTATTTTTTCTCTGAATCGCTCCCTCAAGCTGCCACGTTCCTTCGGTGCATTTTGGCGCGTCTACTCTTCTCCCACTTCAACTCGAACGAGCCAGGTGTTGGCCCAAAGGGTGTTACGGTACCGCTTCGTGAACCGTTGGCCGGTCTCCAACAAGAAGACTCACCAACGAAATTCCATGAAGCAGGCAAGAACTCGACCAAATCAGTATTCCAATCCTTTCACCATGTAGGTTTTGCGGCATTTCACATTGTTGAAGGTAGGCCCAAACCAATGAGCTACCGCGGATTTACAAAGAGCTTTCCTTTGGGCGAAGACATATTCTGTTCAGGCTGACGCGTTTCTGTGGCTGTTCACGAGGACACTTGTAGCGTATGTTCGGTACCAAACGGAGAAGGGCAAACGCTCAGTGCATGGTCGCAGACGCCGGGTGTGATCGTTGTGAGACACACATCAACAAGCTGGGACGTGTACCCTGAGGCATGGAATTATTGCATGGCAAGTCATGCACGTGCAGTGGTGAATACCCTAAGAGCGACTTTCAGAAGCTGGGGGGGACGCTCCCCCGCCCCCCAGGTCTTTGATGTCTGACGGTGCAAAACGCAGCACCACGCACTGAAATTGATGTTGAGGTTGCGAAGCTTAGTTTGGACTGAACACGAACCCAACACGGAAAGGCGCAGACGGCAAGAAACCGGACTTGCTTTCATTTCCCGGATATTATGCATCCCTCACCACTCTGTCTCGGTGCAAAGAAAGCCGTCGATCGATCTTGTTTCATGTCATTGTTGGGTGAACTGGTTAACTCCGTCAGAGATCCCTTGGGTTCGGACCTTGCGTGTTGATCGTTGTTGCACATGCGAATGCCTCGGATTTGAAGGTCCACAAGGTGTTTCACCTCTGTCCGAGTTAGCCATTACTCTCACTTGGCATCACGTTGGTATAGTGGAAGGTACATGTTAAAGCTCATCACTGTTCAAAATTGGGGTAAGATGCGCAGTGTATTCAACTTGGAACAGTAACCTGGTGCAAGAACACAGAGAGTGGTGTTGATGGAGTGCAACAGTTTGAGACACGGACTTACCGCCGCCTGATGCGAGTGTTGACACCAGCGACAGAAGTCTCTGACTCCAGCATCCCCTCCCGCTCCTTCGTGCACAGGTGACGATAAACCTGAAGACCTCGACAGTGGGAGAGGTGACGGGAGAGGATTGCGTGCTAGGATTCGAAACCAGGCAATACCAGGTATATTTGTATCCCAAGGGCTCAAGGAGTTTTGAGTAGCTTACCGCACGACGCTCGATCGTCATACTCCCCTTCTGAACTATGGATTGAATGAAGTGGTTGAAACAAGAGCGGCGACACGAATGTAGTAAAGCGCTGAGAGAATGGAATGACTTTATCGGTGTAAAAGCAATGGAATCCTGGCGGTGGGTGGCTGGCTTATATGGTTGCGTATGAAGCACCAAGTAGCGAGTCGTAGAGAAGAAATCTGTACCACTTGGAAACGGTAAACCCGTTGGTGCGTGCATGTATATGTGGTACTCTCTGCCTTGCTTGACAGGTGGTGGCTATCTCCCAGGATGTGCAGGTTTGCGTGGTTTCGAGACACAACGCTTTTCTGTACTTGACGTCGGGAGAATTGGATCAGCTCTACAACCAAACGCAGGTACATCCTACAAATGTATCGGCTTTTCTTCACCAGAACAACACCGGTCGGTCCAATGGATACACACAGAACAAACGATGACGAAAAGATCCTCTGTGTGCACCTCTTTTCGTTGTGGCGGTCGGTCACCTGTTCGAGGCCAGCCAACTCGACTCGGGTTGCAAGGCACAGCACAGCTCCGGGCTACAGAATAAACTCGTTATTGTTATTGTCCAAGAGAACCAACCAAACCGAGAAAAGTACAGTTGTAGTCTTGCAGCCCCCTTGTTTCAGCACGACAAATACTACCTCCGCGTAGGATAGATTTTGACTGAGCCGTTTGTCGATCTTTTTGCGGCGTTTCACATGCCAAGCCTGACTGTTTGGGAGACCAAACTTGTCGTTTTCATTTATATCGTGTTTTTGTTTTATGGATCCTTCCTGTCATTATGTTTCATGTTTCACTAATGTGTTTCGACCCTATCTAGGCAGCTAGCCTGGGAACACGGGTTGTGTCCGCGTCGGTCGCACCAGTAGAACGCAATGAATAACAAACTGCCTACCTCGGAGCTTAAAACAAACGTGTGGTGCATGCGGTCTGAGGACTACAGCAGTATCACGCGCATCCCTCGGTCTTGCGGTATTTCCTGTATGCACTGTTGTGGTGAGCAGGACCTGTATCGATATGCGGGGGATTCGGACACATCCTACTACAAGGCCGTCAAGGGGTGGCAAGACGCCAGCAGAATGAAGAATGAGGTGGGAGGTGTCCATAACGACGGCGGTGTCTTTCGTACAGTAGTCTAGAAGACGATGCCCGCAACTACCACAGTACGTGGGTGTCGTCGAAGTTCTTGGCCATCATACTTCAAAATCAACAAAGCTACGGCATCTCCTTCACTCGTCTTTCCAATATGCAGAGGTACTGTGTAGTCTACCTGTTGGTCTCATCTGTACGCTAAATATTTGATGTACTGCGTTGGTATTTCGGGATGAAGGGGCGGGGCCGACCCTGCATAAATGCCCGCCAAAACGGACCTGGTGGAGAATCTCCCCTGCCAGACTCTGTACAAAGATATGCCGGTTTTGGGCCGTGAGCATCTCTCTTGTGATGTAGTGCTCTGATGTTTGTGCAGTTTTGTTTCGTCCTGGCGCGATGCATCTATCATCTGCCGCCTGGTCGTACGTTGTCGTTGCCACGGGGGAGGGTTGGATAAAGTTGCCAACGGGTACCCATCATCCATTTCAATCGCAGGTAATAGGACCACTGTATCGGAACAGGCTCGAAGCCAGCGAACGACAGGCGAGAATGCCGCGAGGAAGCAAGAATTCCCAAAGACATAAACGTCTTCGTGAGCAGGCCAGCAAGCGCGCCGTCAAGGGGGGTCCGGGTTCGAAGTCGTTGCAATCGACATCGTCATCAGCATCGACACTCCCCGCTAGAAAACCTGCTAAGGACGGCGGAGGGTCGAGATCGCAGTCGTCGCGCTCACATTCTACTCTACCGACGCCTGGTAGTGCGCCTGGACAGCTATCAAGGAAAGAGTCGGCTCTCAAGTTTCCCCTGATCGAGAGCGGTCGGAGTATACGCTGAACATAGGTAGCCTTGTAACGTGGGAGAGAGGTTTGCTTGTTTCTGCAGGATGGCGCGGGTAGGTGTCCTTTATCACGGAAACACCAACACCACTTTCAAGGAGAATTACATGCTCCGCGCGTCTCCGTCGTTGCCGGGTAGGTTGCCACACAGTCAGAGAGCCAAACCAAAAAGTTTGGGAATCTTCACCGAGCATCAACTGACGCTCAAAGGCATTTTTTTCTGGGGCGTTTTGTGAGGCTCAAGTTGTTCATCGCCACGTCCTTCACCAACCAGATCCTTTACTACTCCAATTTCATCATAGTAAATGCACAAATCACTGAAACACTAGCCCTTTGAGATAACACCACGCTCGAACGGGCGTCGTTTTCATGTTTGACGAAACAGCTCGGGCGCGAAGATGGCGAAATTTTTACATCAGTGGGTGGTGCCATCTGCCATAAATCGCCCCAAACCATCATGATCCTTGTCCATCCTCAAAAAACTCTCTACCGACCGGGTTTTGCGCATGTCCGGAACTACGGTACGTAGTTTTTGCGTCTCGGTAGCCAAACAGCACGATATTGCTGTGTACATTCTCTACTCGTGCGGGGGGGCAGGCAGGCGTTTTAGCTTCGCGTACCTTTTCGTGGGCGGGGAAGACCAAAAAGCCACATGCATGCAGGCACCGAAACAAGTGTTCTTTAGCGGAAGCAAGCAAAACGCCCTAACTTGGTAAACTCGGAAATCACGGCGCATGGTGGGAGCGTTGAGTCGCTCTCAACCCACCAACGGTGTAGGGTAAACACCTCTCGAAATCGACGATCTACGTAGTCGGTTGTCAAGGATCCGAAGTGATCTTGTGAGGGGAACCGAAGTAGTGTTTGGTAGTTGTGTACAGTTGGCACTACATAGCACTCCAGAACTTGGCGATTTAGAAAGTCAAGAAGTTGATATAGCCTCGTCAAACTCATAATCTAACCTTGCGCACCATTTGTGAGGATTCCGGTTAGGAATCCCTTCACTAAAACCTATTAGCGACCATTCGAGGCATAACCCCAAGCAACTACGAAACCAGCCCCGGCCAAAAACTAGAGGTTCTGAAATGCGGGTGCTAGCCGTAGTCGAGGCAAGAAGAATACTTCCTAATATTAAGCGCGCAGCGAAGCCCACTTTGACACCTGGGACGCGACCCCCCCCCAGAGATAGGTAGATGAACAGCAACTAAACGAAACGTGCCCTATCTCCACCAATATCCTTTACCGCTGATTCTAACAATCGGGCGAGTTGTGCGCACAAATTTCGCGTTGCAAACCAGATCAAACAAAAGGCTCGTCGAGTAGACTCAACCAGATCAACCGAGGTTCACATGCGCTGATCTCCCACACACTTGCACGGAACGCTGCAGAAACAAGAACACTACAGTAGACATGAAGAAGTAAACGTAACGTGATACAAGTAGCGTAACTGCGGGGAGGTCCGCTCGTGTCTTGCTCACGATTGACCAAAGAACGAACACGCTACTGAAACAAAACTACCAGGACAAAAGAAACAACTTATATGACAATCGCAGCCACATTCTTTACGCATCACGCGCAGCATTACTTGAGCCCTAACTCCTCTGCGCGGGTTGTCGCCTTTAGTCGCAACTACATACCTAAGATACAACGCACTTACTGCTGCGCTAGACAAATATATACACCTCCATTAAACTCAATCCAACAGCCTCCTGATGCACGAGAAACGAAATATTCTACAAGACACCATTCGCCATGAAAAGACATGCCCTCCACGAAGAATGTCGGGTAACTGCAGCCCCCTGGAATAACAGGACAACTTCCTATGGGAATCACGGGACCAACAAAAATTCCCGTTTCGAGACCGCGAGCCGGTATGCCCCTTGCATCCTCAGTGCACCAACAAACATTCCCCACGCAGACGAACACTGCCGCTCCAACAAGTACGTGCCGACGGGCCGGGTAGATGATAACAACCATCGAGGATGATCTCGTGCGCAAGATGACACGCACGCATGCACGCAATAATTGGCTGCCGGCCAACACCAGCTAGATACACCGAGCAGGTAGCGATTGCCGCAGCACGGCGTGACACGGACACTGCTGTACGTCGCAGAGAGGCCGCAGGAAGCGCCAAGCGAGGGGTGCAACCCAAATTTCCCGGGCCTCACTTCCCCTCCAAGGCTAAGGCGCACCCAACACACATCGGGCCCCCTTCCATCCGGTTTTCAAGTTTTCACTCCAGTAGGATCAAGCAAGCTCAGCGGCTCCGAATGGCATATTCGAGGTGGGCCTCACCCACCCCGGACACACCCCGTGAAAGGCGGCAGCAGGCATAGGCCTGCCGCCCGAAACGTCGTCAAAGCAGTATCTCTCCGCCGTAGGATGGTCATGCGCCCGTGTCAATCTTGACGTTCAAAGCCCACAACACGAACCGCATCAAGGACGAGCCCTCCGCCTGCGTGTGTTGGGTCCAAGGACGGAAGAAAGAGAGTTCGGCAAGCAAGAGAGGAGTCAAGAATAGAGGATGGGTGGGATTTCTTGCTTGAGTGACGTGTGGACTGCTGACGCTCTAGAGAGAGTAAAGAAATGCCAAAATGAAAGTTCCAAACCTGCCTTCACCACGGCTTCCGCCGCAAAAACATATAAATGGACCGCAGCATCGAAGTTCACGACAATATGAGCAAACCTGTATTCTGACAAGTAAATACCATGGCACAGCACAAGCTCTCTAGGCCGTCCTGGGGTTCATGAAGCTTTTGCTGTAATGGCGTTTCGACAACCGAGCGACTCACAGCTGGCTTTGCACACGGGTTTAGCCCGTTCTTGGCCCACTAAATTTACCATGCCTGCCTGATGTGTGGTCTGAGCATGGCTTGAAGAGGCTACCGGAGACCCAGCTAATCCTTTCCAGAGGCTTGTATTGACCGGGGCTATGCAAGTGGAGAACGGCTCCGGGGCGGTGCTAGTGTCCAGCACCAGAGTCACAACAACGCATTTACAGTCCGTGCCAGGCTACCCACCACTGCTGTCTGCTGCATTCGCTTGGAGAAAGTGTGGACTTCTGCGTGCGTGCGCGTGCTTTCGTCCCATTGATTCTGGCGTCAATCTAGACACACTCGCGGTGTACATGTTTGACGTTTCATCAGGGTTCACAACTTCCTCCTGCGGTACTGTGAAGTACCGATCGAAAACAGGACGTTACGCTGCTGCTATTGAACCTATTCAACCTCCACGGCCTCACTCCCCTCCTCTCTGTTCTGTCAGTAGATGGTGCGAAGCGGACAACCGACTTAACAGACTGGCGCAGTTTACCTATGCACGAGTTCAGCACATGGAGAATTCTTTCGTTGGTCTCCCGGAAACAGGAAGGACTTGTAGCCCGTTTGCTGCCGTAAAAATTAAAACATACTTTTTTTTTTAGACTTCCCCGGAAGAACTCACGTACGTACGTACGTGTCCGCAAAGGAACCATCGTTTCGTTTTCGATGCCATGAAAATATCGCGGGATCAATCGCTTCCAACTCCTTCTTGCCTGAGCCGTCGTTCCCATTTGCCGGGGTCTCACCGTGCACTTTCGAGCGTGTTTTCAGAGCGGAGGGGAGAGCGAGAGAAAGGTAGAGCAGCAGACACAATCATACCTGCACATTAATCTTTGAGAACGGCCGTGCCTGCCCGGCGGTTGTCCGCAAAACAAAAATGGACGGTGCACGTGTACGCTATAATAGTTGTCTGCAGGCGGCTACCGTACTCCCGAAAAGGATGCGCCCCTCTCACAACAAATGCCCCCCCCGTGAAGTTGAAAACAATGAGAAACACTCCGGGGCAACCGATTTTGCAGTCTTGTTCTGAATCTTGTTAATTCCCACCCCTTCTTGTACCTCTGACTTCACCCCTAGGGGGACTGTATCTTCGCCTTTGTGTGCGGTAACTTTTGGCCGCCCGTGTGCCGTTGAAGAAAGGTACTGAAGCATATTTGTTCTCTATTTCTACGTTCTTGTTGCTGCAGTTGCGATAAGGCTCAAGTCCTGTTGAAACCTTTTGTCTGCAAGCCAATACTTGAAGTATGCACGCAACTACATACGCGTGCATCTGCATGAATTCTCAACCAAGTCAGTACTTATCTTCGACAACAAATTTCAAATTTCAAATTTCAAACTCCCTACTCCAGTGGCACTTGTTGTCTCCAGACAGGCAGTCGACTAAACAGGCACTAAAAAGGAACAGTTGCGTGTTCAAGGGTGTGTGTGTGCACTATACGATATCATCTGCTGACACTTCGAATAGCGCCAGGATCTCTGATCTCAATCTCTCAATCCCGTATCGGGTGTCTGTGCACGAAAAAGATAGGGAGCGGGAGAGAGGGAGGGTCCGACCGCTGTGAAAGGCGGCATGGTTTTTATTTGTTGGTGACACAACGCTTCCTTTTTTTTTTAGGAAAATTAAATACACAGAAAGACTAACCGTTCGAATTATACCCACATTCGAACGGGATGTGGTTTATTTTCTTAATATGCATATGTAGGAATAAACCGTTTTTGGTGCTCGGGTTGTTTTTTCTCTGCTGGGACAGCATATTTTCTTGCACTTTCTTCTGCATGGCACGCAGAGGACCCGTCGATACATTCATTACCCGTTACGTGTGGGGCGCGCGAGACACCGGTGGTGCGCGTTAGGGCTGCCTAGAGTCGCTGGGACTGGCTCTTTTTTCAGGGGTTGGGAATCGGAACCATAAAAGCCTCCTCGAACGGTATGAAAACTGAAAACACAACTTTTTTTTGCCCCGCCCCACGCGCCACGCGCCCACACAGCTGCTGTGATCGTTGTGTACACACCTGTCACACAGCAACTGGTGCATGCGTACCCGCAGCGGGGACCAAGACTCTTGGTGTTGCTCATGGAAACACACCGTGCGACACAGAGGTCCTCTCGCACAACTCACTCTGGCAGCGCGGTCATTTCAATTTCGATTCCGATTCCGAAAAATCGAAGAAGTCAAACACATGGTACAAAAGTTGTGGTACTGCTGTAGCAGTCTACGTCTGTCTGTGACTGTTCTTGGGCACGTTGAGCGTCTCTTTGATCCGTTGTTGGTGCTTGCGTGAAAAAGTCCCACAGAACGTGGGAAACACGATCACCCAAGCAGAGTAAGTGGTCAAACGCAGCGGCTTCCAGTAGTAGGAACTTCAGCAACGACAGCGCTAGCTTACATAAACAAAACGTGCACTCGCGCACAAGCGAAAGTCACGGCGGGAGGAAACAGAATACCCCGCACATGATGTAAATTTCTGGCAATTAGTATGAAGTACACAGGTTGCACGCCAACCGGCACTACCGAACGTCATGACGACCAACCATGCGACCGCGATGGCATTGATTGGCCATGTCCTCTTGCGTCGCCCCCTGGAGGCAAATCACCTAACTCCCGCAGGGAACCTTCCATGTACTTCATATGACCCAACGAATCCCTCTATCATATAGAAGTAGGCATGAGTCCAAGAGAGATTGCTTGTTGTTGTTGACTTCACATTAAACTTGTGTCAGTTGCTAATCCCAAAATCTAGCAAAGACTCGGTCCGTGGTCACACAAATGCTAGCATCAGAGGATCCAAAGAACACACGCACACTATTTGCAAGAAAAGGGTACACAAGCCCGAGGAGGTACACCTACAACCCCTGCAGCACGTTGCGTGCTCACAACTGAACTACACGCCCACACACTACAATTTGACTACAGCAGCAGCATCACCCCCCTTGTCCCGCATTTAACCAAAATGAATGTTCGTCGACTACAGCGTACTGCCGTCTCAAGTGCTGTCTGTACAACAATAGCACCATGGTGCATGGTACACAAGCTCGGGGTATGCAGCTGCTGTCTGAAGTGCTGTCAGAATGAGTCCGTAGACATTCAAATGAAGAAGCACACCCAACCAAAGCCATCATTGCAATTGACAATCACCCGAATCTACCTAGATCATCTATCTGTGTTAGGCACAGCAGTGTAAACATCGACACTGACTAGGAATCGTTCCACATTGAAGGGGTCTTCAACGGTGCAGGTACACAATTAAGGGCACCCGGGTTATCCGCGCCATCTCTGTCGCGTCTCTCTACAAAACCAGTGACGTCATCACACACACCCAACACTAAATTCAGGAAAAAAACGAAAAATATTTGACAANTGTGTTAGGCACAGCAGTGTAAACATCGACACTGACTAGGAATCGTTCCACATTGAAGGGGTCTTCAACGGTGCAGGTACACAATTAAGGGCACCCGGGTTATCCGCGCCATCTCTGTCGCGTCTCTCTACAAAACCAGTGACGTCATCACACACACCCAACACTAAATTCAGGAAAAAAACGAAAAATATTTGACAAGAGATGATTGTCCGTGCGCCACGGTTCGATGCCGTCCGCATGCTCCGGTTCCGCTGCTCCGGTTCCGCTGCTCCGGTGCTGCTGCTCCGGTGCCGCTTCTCCGGTGCCGCTGTGACCAGTCCTAGCATGACCAAACTCGACCCGCTCCGCTTCGTACACGCTCTCGTTTCTATCCTTCCCAGTCGGTCTCTCGCTTTCTCCCTCGTTGCACTTAGGGTTCTTGGTCTGAAAATTCTCGCGCCGAAGGGTCAACCAGCCCAATCAGCTCGTCACCACCTGTCCCCTCCTCCTTTGATGGCAACACCAGGTTACTGAGACAGTACAGCTCCCTCTAGCAAACCTAGGACCGTGTACATAGTGCCCGTCCACCTTTCTGATCGCGTCTGCCTCCGCGCACAAACGTGAGATGGGCGTTGCTGCCTACATNGAAGGGTCAACCAGCCCAATCAGCTCGTCACCACCTGTCCCCTCCTCCTCTGATGGCAACACCAGGTTACTGAGACAGTACAGCTCCCTCTAGCAAACCTAGGACCGTGTACATAGTGCCCGTCCACCTTTCTGATCGCGTCTGCCTCCGCGCACAAACGTGAGATGGGCGTTGCTGCCTACATGGACGGCCTGGAGGCCCGCGCATCTGCACCTTTGTACCTGACGCACCAGTGCCGACTCAACTCCACCACTACGCACGCCTCGCGGCGGGTGCGCCGCAGCAAGAAGGTATCGGTCCCTTGAGGGTGAGTCTAGCCTGCTCGCTAGAAAGACCCCCCCCCCTTCCCCCCCGGTGTTTACCATCGGGGTTGGGTTTTCGTCGCTTGGCAACGACGTTGTAAAACAAGCCGCCCCCCCCGGTGTTTGCCATCGGGATTGGGTTTCCGTCGCTTGGCAACGACGTTGTAAGACAAGCCCCCCCCCCTCGGTGTTTGCCATCGTGATTGGGTTTTCGTCGCTTGGCAAAGACGTCGTGAAACAAGCCAATTCACTTCGTGTACTCGGCAACCAGGTTACCGTTTGTTTTTTTTTACCTCCGTTTTTCTTTTTTGGCGGTAACCATAATGGTGGTCAAGCAGATCATGTTGTGCGGGGTCGAGAACCCTCACTCCGCCCAAGGGGCATGATCGCACCACGTTGTGTTAAAATGGTCAAGCACCCTCGAGGCAGTTACACAGTGCTTACAACTGTCTCTGGAAGTGAAAGCACCAGAAAATAAATT